GATGCCACCTTTTTCACTACCAGTGTCTCACAGTGGACTATGAAGGAAATGTAAGAGCAGACACCTCTCCCTGTCCCTTGTTTCACATACAAACCAACAAAAAATATAATCTTGTTTTTCTTTATCGCAAAACTAGGGTATTATTAGTATATGCTTCATAAATGGGGTTGCAGGATTGTAGCACCATCGCCTCACAGCAAGAATATGTCCTGTTTGTGTCCTGGTTAAATCACCTGGGATCATTCTGTGTGGAGTTTGCAGGTTGGTCCTGTTCTTCCTCCCACAGTCCAAAAAGTTAAATTGTCCGTAGGTGTGAATGTGAGTGTGCTTGGTTGTCTGTGTAGCCCTGTGATAGACTGCTTACCTGTCCAGGTGAACCAGCCTTCACCCTAAGTCAGATGGGATAGACTCCAGCAGAGGGTATATATAGATATATTCATAGATACATATATGAATGTATGTATGTATTACAAACATATTTAAATATAGCATTTTTTTTCTTTTAAATTACTTGCAGGGTTCATGTACTGTACACATCTGCGTAATACTTGAGTGACAAACTATGCGCTTTTATATAAAGTTTATTGTTTTGTTTTTTCTTTAATATGCAGCCATTGAGACTCTCCGAGACGGGTAACAATATGGCGCACACACAACCAATGGGCTTTCTCCATTTCTGACAGCTGGCCAATCACAGAGCCCGGATCAGGCTAAAAACTATTCAACATGGAGACAACAGTTGAAAAGCTCGAGGCGATGGTAAGCACAGCGCAAAACGGTTTTATTTTCGTTAATACTGTGTTTCAGATACCGTTCATGTCTTTGCTCAACGACTTCAGCAACAATCAGCATCTGGGTTAATTACCGATGAGTTATACACACGGGCTGCCAATCACGGCATTCATGATTCTGTTAGCAGTCCCGAAAAAAAAAAAAAAGACGAACAAACGAAAAAACAATTCAAACTCTTTTGCGCCATTCAGCAGGCCTGTCTGCCTGCCTCCTGGTCCAACACCAAATACTGCAGCCTCGTTTGTAACCACGAGCTTCTGTAGGAGCAGAACGGAGGCTGAAGCCGATTTGCACGTATTCGTTGTGAAGCGGCGTCCGGCTGTCTGCTAGTTTCAGGAACGGGGTCTGAGCCCGACCACCAAGAGAAGCGTTCAGCCAGGAGCTAGCAGCCAGTCCAACAGCTGCTCACACATCAGCAGCAGCCACTGCCATTTTAGCACAGCTCACATGATTTATTTTATTATTATTGTTTATTTAGATGGCAGTATTATTACAGAGCGGGTACTGTCTCACAGTCATACATTTATGGGAAATATATGTCTGAAAATATCCCGAATCCATGCACACTGATTCCAGTACTCTAGAAACCTGTGTAACTTTGTTAAGAAAGACTGCCACACACATGCATTTCATTATCATTGTTATTATTATTATTGAAAATCAATAATCAAAACAAACATTGTAATTCCGGTCAAGTTTCGGGTAATTCTTCTGCAGTCCAGAGCATGGAGGGAATGGGAAGCTGCTCCCAACAAGTCTGTCTTGTGCTCACTTTATATTGTACTTCTGATGATTCTGCTACACATGCAGTCCTTAAAAAGCCATTGCCCAGGAAGAGTTGCAAGTAAGGGCTCAACCTTCACATGTCCAGCTGTTGGCAGATGCTCTGACTTCATTGCACTACTGTAACAGACAGCTAGTAGTGCAATAGTATTGTCAAAGCATCTGAAAGCTGCAAGAAACAGCTACACCAACTACTTTTACATTTCTAGACTGTATAGCGTCCTATTGACACAGTGCACATACTGCTTTACTTTAAAATATGTGTTACTGAAAATAGATTCAGACTCCACTGTGTTGGCTGATAACTCACTCTGCATGATAACAGTCGTCTGTGTGATTGTCCTGATTCAAAGCTGCTTTCCACAATAATTAATGACAGTCGTAAAAAATAATAAGAAAAAAAGCCTAGCATAACATAACATAGTATAGCAGCTTTAACCAGTGTTGCTAGTCTCATTAAAACTTTAACTAGTGCCTGTAGTTGGACCTTCTATCTGTGCCTGCACCAACATTCAGCCCTTTCCACAGACGGTGAATATGCACAATATTAGCAGTTGCACATTATGTTTGTAAAACTCTCTATGGCATTTTTATTACATTTGCGCGGCATTTAGCATTTAACTTTTGCTGAATGAACAAAAAAACGGGCTGCAAGGTGGCTCGGTGGTTAGCACTGTCGCCTCGCAGCTAGAAGATCCCCAGTTCACTTCCTGGTTAGGACCTCTGGGATCTTTCTGTTTGCATGTTCTGCAGCGTGGGTTCTCTCCGGGTTCTCCAGCTTCCTCCCACAAGGTCCAAAAACATGTTGAGGTTAATTGGTGATTCTAAATTGTCCGTAGGTGTGAACGTGAGTGTGCTTGGTTGTCTGTCTCTAAGTGTAGCCCTGTGATAGACTGGTGACCTGTCCAGGGTGTCCCCTGCCTTCACCCTTGTGGGCGGCTGTGGCTCAGGTGGTAGAGCGGGTTGTCCTCTAAACGCAAGGTTGGTGGTTTGATCCCCTCCATGAGCCCTCCATTGAGCCCTCCATGGCCAAAGTGTCCTTGGGTAAGATGCTGAACCCAAAGTTGCTCCCAATGGCAGGCAGCACCTTGCATGGCAGCTCTGTCGCCATTGGTGTATTGTAAAGCGCTTTGAGTACCGCTAAGGTTGAAAAGGGCTATGTAAGTACAGTCCATTTACCATTTACCCTGAGGATTGGGGGGCTGGGATAAACTCTGGCCCCCTGCGGCCCTAGTGAGGATTAAGTGGTGTATAGATGATGGATGGATGAACCAAAAGGACTTTGTGTTAGTGCTAAAACTGAAGTAGTGTATGACCATTAGTATCACTTGAGATCATTTGGTAACATCTAAGAAAAGCCCAGCCCTTCTTCTGAGCAGAAGGCAGCAGGGTGCATTTGCCAGTTTACTGCTAAATGTAACGCTGAGTTTATTTACAGTTCCTGAAGTCAGAGGCAGACCTGGATTGCATTGAGAAGTGGCTGAAGCTGGACTTCATGAACACTGGAGAGAATGGATGTCCAGCTGAGGTGATAACTCATTTAACGCCTGTTCTTTCTACTAACAGCAAAAGATGGGACCAATTTGACGCCATCTGCAGTCTACTGAATGCTAAGTAGCTGCTAGTCATTGACTTACTGGCTGATAGCCCTCAGTGTCATCACAGGTCATTGATGACATGCCAGCAACTCTCGTCGTCATTTCTGTTTTGAAACACACATCAATTTGTAACACAAAGGTAATTGGTGGTTCACTCTCTTCATGAACAGGTAACAGAAAAAAAGTAAAGGGGAACTTGTGTGTTGAAGTTAAAATAGTACAGGCATGGTCTACCTTTGTTTGCGCATGTGCGGTGGCGTGCGTGACGGTAAGTGTACTTGGACAAACTGCCTGAAATGCGTTGCCAGAGACATTTCTGGGATTTTGAGTCATTCTGCGTTAAAATCTTTTAGCAGATTAATCACGATGACTGATTAAAACCAGAAAATCAAGAAAGCAAAATCAGCAAGTGAAGCTGGATGTTTGAAAAAGAAGTCCATAGGCTGATTATTGACGCTGTGCCTTCAGGAGAACCCGGTGGTGATGCTGGAGAAAGTGAAGGCCATCAAGGACAAACACTCCACGCTGTGCGCTCAGGTCAAGGAGATTGCAGCTGCACAGAAACAATCCATGGACTCAATCAGAAACAACCTCAACAGTGCCATGGAGCTGATCCAACACTTCCAACAGACGACTGATGTGAAGGTGCCCACACAAACCGTATACTTACACTTTAAACACCACCTCATGCATTGTGGGAGGTGTATTATATTCTGAAGCTGTTTTTGATGTTAGACAGTAATTTAATAGTCTTTCACTAATTATGGTGTCATTGTGGACCTCTGTCGCACTCCTGTCAGAGTTGAAAGGTAGAAATAAGAAACCATGTTTTACTTTAAATCCCAGATACTATGCAAAGCTTATCAAAGCAGGGCCTGGGACGTGCCTTGTTAATTAACAATGCTAATTACTGCCTCGTTGACTTAAGAATCGACTAAGTCACTTTTTTGTCAATATTCCCTTCTGGTGAGGTGAGACATGGAATAGATAGCATCACATTATCAGACTAGTTGGTATTTTTGATTCACATTCACCCTGTCACAATCTGAATATTAAGCAAAACATAGGCTACATGTTACTTAGAAGTAATGAAATGAGAGTCACAAGGTAAGTGTGCCTCCACATTGTGTCTTGGCCACTGTTAACGTTAAAATGTTTTCATCAGACATTGCTGAAAGTGAAAATTGTATATATTTTAGACTTATTACACATAAACCAAAATATTTCCAGACTTTATTTGTTTTAACTTTCATGATAATGGCTCATGAACTTTTTTTCCCACCATGTTCTCATTATAAGCTGTCTGCAGACTATTAACACTGATAAAATTATTACATCAGGCTCAGAATCAGAAACAGATTTATTGCCAGGTATAGTGTGGGGGTCAGTGGAGGTCCTGTGCCTTGTTCATGAAGCCGGTGGCAGATGGGGAAAAAAACTGTTCTTGTGGCGGGAGGTTCTGGTCCTGATGGACCAAAGCCTCCTGCCAGAGGGGAGTGATGGGAAGAGTTTGTGTCCAGGGTGGGAAGGGTCGGCCACAGTCTTACCTGCACACCTCAGAGTCCTGGAGGCATGATGACTAAATCAGAAGAGAAGATGGCGTGAGAGTCTCTAGCACTCTGTGGTAATTCACAACTTCAATGACAAAGTAAGTTTTAAGTTTTAAGATTAGGGATGCAGCCTCAGGCCGTTCTTCTTTCTTTACATCATTGCTTACTACTGAGTTTAATCCCTTCCTCTTGTAGGGCGTACTTCACAAAAGCCATTTGCCAACAGTATTCACACAAAAAAGTGAGTGGCAACACATTCAAGATTGACAGGAAATTACATCATGCTGCCAGTTGCAGTTTGCATGTTGTAATGACCTCTAGGTGCCAAGTATTGTACAACCATTGCAGCTATATAGTATTGCATCTTAAACAATTAACATCTATTCTTATTTTTCGGAAATTAATTCAAAAAAGCATATTTCCATATGTAATACATTCATTACGGATAGAGTGAAAAATGTCTTCAATGTTTTAATTTGGATGATAATGGCTTATAGCAAAGAAAAATCAGAAATACAGTATCTCAAAATATTAGAATATTCCCGAAGATCCAAAAAAAAGGTGTGCAATACAGAAATTACCAACTTCTAAAAAAGAATGTTCATTTAGACACTCAATACTTGTTTGGGGCTCCGTCACCATAAATTTCTGCATCAATGCGACATTTCATGGAGGAGATCAGTCTGTGACACGGCTGAGGTCTTATCGAAGCCCCAGGATGCTTTGATAGGATCAGATAGGATTAGTTCATTTGTATGTTTGGGTCACATGTTTCTCATCATCCTATTGACGAGTTTGTGGCCAATCAAGCACAGTAATATCATGATCAGCAAACCATTGTTTAGTAGTTTTGGCTCTGTGGGCAGGTGGTAAGTCCTGTTAGTAAAGGTTTTTCTAAAGCTTGTCAATAGATGGAAGCATGAAGTGCTCCAGCATTTCCTCATTAGATGTCTACGTTAACTTTGAACTTGATAAAACACAGTGTACAAACACCAGCAGATGACATGACGCCCAAATCATCACAGACTGCAGAAACTTTACTCCAGACTTCAAACACCTTGGGTTCTGTGACTCCCCACTTTTCCTCCAGACTCTAGGATCTTGATTTCCAAATAGATGCAAAACTTACTTCGATCTGAAAAGAGGACTTTGGACCACTGAGCAGCAATCCAGTTCTTTTTGTCCTTAGTCGAGGTAAACCTCTTCTGATGTTGTCTCTGGTTCAGGAGTGTCTTGATATCAGGAATGCAACAGTTGCAGCCTCTTTACAGAAGACATCTGTGCTTGGTGGCTCTTGATGCACTGACACCAGCCTCAGTCCAGTGATCATCTTCTGGACACCTTTAAAGTCAGCGGTCATGATTTTGATCGTGTGTGCCGAACTAGACAAAGTGATACACAATGTTTACACTGTGTGAGTAGCAGCTTACTCAAAATTGAAATTAAATATTCTAATGTTTTTAGATATGTTTTTACTTCTTTTTTTTTTTAACTGTAGGCTAAAATTGATCAAAATTGAAATAGAAGAATGTTTTAAAACATCTTATTTCTTTTTGACTTTTGAACTTAAAAGGTCTGAAAACCAAATATATTGACTAAAATGCTTTAAAAAAAGATGCCACAGACGCAACTTGCTATGGCATGTCATTACACAGTAATAAGCAATATACTGCCACTGTGGTTTCATTTTTTGATCATGTCCTTATTTACATGCTACAGGTTGAGGCACTGACGGCGTCGGAGAAGGACTCAGTGGCACTACTGGGCTCAGCTGTCAGTCACAACACAGCAGA